TCTACCACTGAGCCATCTTCCCAGCCCCCATCCTAATATTTTCTAAGCCAGGAAATTTTATTTTTTTAATTGTGAAAATACCATACAGAGGGGTTACAATTACATGGGCAAGATGATGAGTACATTTCTTATCAAGCATTGTTGCCTCCTCCTTTGTTTCCCCTTCCCATCCCTTCCCATATGCCCCCTTTCCCCTGCCCCTCCACAGCCCACCCCTGCCAACGTTGTAAAGTTTGTTTTCGACATAACAATTTGTACATCTCATTGTTGCAATGGGTCCACCTGTATCCCTATTTAAACAATTTGCTTTTTTCCCTTCCCCTCCACAAATTATACCAACATCAAATACAGTGAAAGCAGGGGTTATACCGTGGGGGAGGGACATACAAAGCAACAAAGCAATAATCTTATGTGTTATAAACAATTGCATGAAAGAAAAAACATTTGAATACTTATCTTAGGGTTCATTTCACCTAACATCAACTTATCTGACCTTTTCTGCTTGACTCAGACATATACTAGTTATTGAAAATAAGGGAAACCATGAGACCTAAGTTTCTTTGGGCCTGGCTTACTCCACTTAATATAATTTTTCCAAGTCTTTCCATTTCCTAAGGGATGGGGCAATGTCATTCTTTTTGATGGAGGCATAGAATTCCATTGTGTATATATACCACATTTTCTTGATCCATTCATCTACTGAGGGGCATCTGGGTTGGTTCCATATCTTAGCTATGCTGCAATAGACATAGCTGTGCTGGTAGCTTTAGTATGGTCTTGTTTGTAAACATTTGGGTAAATGCCCAAAAGTGGGATTGATAGGTCATAGGGGAGCTTTATGTGGAGACTTTTGAAGAACCTCCATACTGCTTTCCAAAGTGGTTGAACAAGTTTATACTCCCACCAACCATGCAGTAAGGTTCCCTTCTGTTCACATCCCCTCCAGCATCTGTTGTTATTAGAGTTCTTGATTATAGCCATTCTAACTGGGGTGAGATGGTATCTCAATGTTGTTTTGATTTGCATTTCTTTTATGGCTAGAGAGGTTGAGCATTTCTTCATGTGTCTATTGGCCATCCTTCTTTCCTCTTCAGAGAAGTTTCTCTGTAAGTCTTTAGTCCACTTATTTATTGGGCAGGTTTTTTTTCTTTGAAGATTTGTTGTTGGGGGATTTAATTTTTTGAGTTCCAAATATATTTTAGATATGAGACCCTTGTCTGTTGTATGGCTAGTGAAGATCTTCTCCCAATCCGTGGGTTTTCTATTGATCTGCTAGCTATGTCCTTTGCCATGCAGAAGCTCTGCAATTTCATGCAATCCCTTTTGTCCAACCTTTCTTTGATTTGTTGTGCTTCTGGGTCTCTATTAAGAAAATTTGGGCCTGTGCCAAGGAGACCTAGGGTTTCTCCTATTCCATCCTGTAATGTTTTCAGAGTGTCTGCTTTGACTCCGAGGTCTTTGATCCATTTAGAGTTGATTCTGGTGCAGGGTGATATATAAGGATCTAGCTTTAGTTTTCTACAAGTAGTGAACCAATTTTGCCAGCACCATTTATTGAAGAGGCTGTCTTTCTTCCATTCTATTTCTTTAGCTCCCTTATCGAAGATTAGATGGCTATAGGTCTGTAGGTTCATTTCTAGGTTTTCAATTCTATGCCATTGGTCCTGAGGTCTGTTCTTGTGCCGGTACCAAGCTGTTTTGATTACTATGGCTTTGTAGTAGAGTTTGAAATTTGGTATTGATATTCCTCCAGCAGTGTTCCTTCCACTGAGGGGCGTTTTTGCTATTCGGGGTCTTTTATTGTTCCATATGAATTTTTGGATTGCCTCTTCTATTTCCTTGAAGAATGAGGTTGGAATTTTGATGGGTATTGCATTGAATTTGTAGATAGCCTTGGGAAGTATTGCCATTTTCACGATGTTGATTCTTCCAATCCAGGAGCAGGGGAGGGTTTTCCACTTTCTAAGTTCTGATTTGATTTCCTTTTTCAGGTTTTTAAATTTCTCATCATAGAGGTCCTTCACTTCTTTGGTTAAGTTAATTCCTAGGTATTTTATCTTTTGTGGGGCTATTATGAATGGAATTGCTTTCCTAATTTCAGCCACACTTTTCTCATTGTTGGCATACAGAAAAGCCTTTTTTGGGGGGGGGGGGTCCGGTCGTGGGGCCTGAACTCTGGGCCTGGGTTCTGTCCCTCAGCTCTTCAGCTCAAGGCTAGCGCTCTACCACTTGAGCCACAGAGCCACTTCTGGCTTTTTTCTGCTTATGTGGTGCTGAGGAATTGAACCCAGGGCCTCAAGCATGCAAGGCAAGCGCTCTACCACTGAGCCACCTTCCCAGCCCAAGACATTGATTTTTGAGAGTTAATTTTATACCCTGCTACTTTGCCAAAGTTTTGAATCAGCTTGAATAATTTGGGAGCGGAGTAGGCCAGGATATTTTGAGGACTGAGTGATGAAAAATACTTAAAAGAATTGCCACCATTTATATCGTATTGCTGTCCTTCAAAAATAAGGAAATCAAACATCTATTTACATCTGAGAGTCACTCAAAATTTATTTGCAAAGACAATGCCCACTTCTCAAAAGAACTAATAAAGGCCAGAGGATGATGAAATGCTATAGATGAAGTTCTGAGAGAGGGGGAAATTTGCTGTCACTCAGGCATTTCTGGATTTAAGTTAAAACTATCCCAAAAATGAAGAAAAAATCACTATTAAATGAAAATGAGGGATTCTGTTGTCTGCAGATTGTCCTTCACAGAGCAGTGAAGTCCTTCAGGATGGACAGTAACAGCAGAAGATGGCAACTCAAACCCAGTGGAAGGAATGAGCAGCATTAGAATTGCAGACTATATTCATAAACATAAGGTACTCCATGCAGAGGTTCTCTTTTATCTGTAAGTTTATTGTTACATTTTTTATGTCTGATGTTACCATATATAATCCATGTGTTTGCTTTTTCTCTCAACTTTTGTGTTCATTACATATACAGATATAAAATATAGAATATGTAAAATATAGAAAGTGGGGTTAACTTCTGGTAACTTGCCACATTTTAATCTGTTTTAATCAGTGTTAGCCAGAAGTAGGTTGTGATGAAGTTGAATAATATAATTCATATAGATATCACTAAGAAAAAATGCAGTTAAAAATCATAAAGGACTAAACTAGTCCTCAAGTCAAAGGTAAGAGAAATAGAGAGAAATGATGTTATATAGGAAAGAACATCAAAATGACATATTTAATTACAATAACATCAGCAACTATATTGAATAGTAGCAAACCAGTTTCTCCAATAAAAAGGCAAAGATTTCCAGGCTGGATGACAAAGTAAAATCAAACTCCACATTGGCTCCAAGAGAAATATCTCAAAAGTAGTGGTTTGGTGCTACAGATAACCAAGCTTAGTGGCAGTCTCCTTTCATCCCAGGATAGCAGTTTTCTTTCAAACCATATGAACTTATTTGTCCGAGTAATGAAGTCTTCATTGGGAAAATGAGTTTATGTATCAATTGCAGCACATAGGAGAGGATAATCACTATCAGAAGTAGCCCCAGTTCCTTACAACTCATTGAACCTTCAGCTAACTCTCAATATGATCGTGTTGTGTAGCCAATGGAAATAAGCCTTTATTAGGCTAATCTTTAACTGAGCAAGGATGTACACAAAGTTTGAGAAAAGCTTCAGATAAGCACTGTTTGTTATGTCCACTGTTCAGGCATACCTGGGTTTACTCTGCTTGAAAATAAAGCAGCTAGAAACTAGAGCATGGGAAGGAAGATGCTGTGCCCTCTGACCTCCGGAACCCTTGTAGCACATGATGTTTATACACCTACCACTGATTACTTTGAGGAGACATGGAGATGATGTGGATTTACACAAGTAACAAGTCTTTGACACATTTGGTAGGTCTGAAAATGCATACATAAATTTAAATGTGTATCTAAAACCTTTGATTTGAAGAAGGTAATTTTATAGGATTCTGTTTTTCAGACTGAATAATTTAGTTATCTTTTTAAAGGATATATCTCCTGACTGTTAGTAGTTGCCTGGCTTGTTTTCTTTCTTATTACATTGAATATTGGAATCAAGCTTAGAAGTGTGAAGATCAACAAATGAGGACCCCACTGAGTAGGCTGTGCTGAAAAGATGTTAAGGGGCACTGGAGTCGCCGGGTTTAAAGTTCTTCTGGTAGATGGTGGTCGATATTTAAATGGAAGGAATAATGAGATCATGGGACTATGCAGCTGTGTATTATAGAGTTTTGTGCAACCTTCTTCCTATTCAGAGCACAGAACACAGGCATGTGAGTAATTTCTCGAGGAAGCACTCTGCAAGGAGGCTCTAGAATACCAGATCACTTAAAATTTACCCATCACGAGCTGGGAAGGTGGCTCAGTGGTAGAGTGCTTGCCTTGTATGCATGAGGCCCTGGGTTCGATTCCTCAGCACCACATAAGCAGAAAAAGCCTAAAGTGGTGCTGTGGCTGAAGTGGTAAATTGCTAGCCTTGAGCTGAAGAGCTGAGGGACAGCGCCCAGGCCCAGAGTTCAGGCCCCATGACTGATAAAAAAATAAAATAAAATAAAAATACCCGTCTCTTAAAATGTCAAGTCCAGAGACCCAATGAAGTATATTGAAAACTGCAAGAGAAAAATGTCAGTTCACTTACAAAGGCAATGCCATCAGAATTACATCAGAGAGATCCTATAAACTCCAGAAAACCATGAGATACCGAGTTTCAAAAGTTCAGACTTAACAATTGCAAACCAGGGGCTGGGAAGGTGGCTTAGTGGTAGAGCACTTGCTTTGCATGCATGAGGCCCTGGGTTTGATTTCTCAGCACCACATAAGCAAAAAGAAAAAAGCCAGAAGTGGCACTGTGGCTCAAGTGGTAGAGCGCTAGCCTTGACCTGAAGAGCTGAGGGACAGCGCCCAGGCCCAGAGTTCAGGCCCTACGACCGGACCCCCCCCCCAAAAAAAAATGCAAACCAGGATACTATATTTCTTGTTATCCTTTAAAATTGAATGAAAAATAAATATCTCCAAAGAATAACACAAGATAAAGCAAGTTGTGAACACTAAGTCAGCATTGCAGAAGATATTTGAAGAAATCGTCCATACAGAGAAATAGTGACTACAAACATGAGAGGTGAGGAAAGAATAAATTTAATAAGAGAAATAGATGAATAGAGACAAATTATGAAAGAATCTTTCACTTCCAATTCAATAAAGCAGAAATTTCTTATGCACTTTTGGTGAGAATGTTAGTTAGTACAACTGACAGAAATCAGTATGAATGTTCCTCAAAAAGAGGAACATTGTTGGGTATATACCCAAAGGAATGTTTAGACAGCATTCAATAAAATTGCAAACAAATATATGTTCAGTGTTGTACATTTCTCAATAGCCAAATTATGGAATCATCCTTGGTTCCCATAAAGAAAATGCTTTACGCATGTGTGTGTGTGTGTGTGCGCGCACACACACACACAGAGGAGTATTATTCAGTTATAAAGCAGAATGAAAACTTGATTTTTCAGGAAAATTGTTGGAAATACAAATCATCATAGTGAAATAAGCCATACTCAAACAAATACTACATAAATTATGTCATAAATGGAATATAGATACATGAGTCAAAGTAACAGAAATTCATGAACATTATTGGAGGACATTGTGTAGAAGGGTGTTAGGAAAAGGACAAGAAGCAGTCATGAGGAAAGATTGATATCAAAGCATGTTATAGACATGTGTGGAAATATCCCAGGAGAACACATTAAGTGTACAATGTACAAAATCCAAAACAAACAGGAAATTTGGCTCATAATACAATTCAGTACGTACAGGGCAGTGTTCAAAGGCTCTAAACTCAGGCACATTAAAATTCTGGCATTTTACCAATCAGATATGTTTGACAATGATCAACTATTTGGCAATCATAAACAAAAGCTGCAAATTAGAGATAGAAGTGAGTAATTGTGATAAAAAAAAAGTAAGTCAGAAATTTTTACAGAAGTGAATAAAAGAGTAAGGACTAAAACAGGAGAATCTGCTAACAACAAACAATAATTACAACAAAAATAAGGCCACCAATGCCTTAGGGACATGACAGATGATAAACATCACAGGAACTGTTAGCTCTTGATTTTTACTAGCTTGTCCTGGTTCTGGGTTTTACATATCTTCAATATATAATTGCTTATGTTTTTACTATAGGTTTTGTCTTAGCCAACTCAGGTACTGATTTTCTGTCCTGTCTTTAATTTCAAGCCACATATAGGCTAAGAGTCCATGGAATCCATCCTCTATGTGGTCATGGGTCACGTTCACTCCAGCATTCTGAAGACGGGCGACATATAGGAGTCCATCGTCTCTTAAGATGTCATGCTGACAAGTGATGATGTAGGTCAAAGGCAGACCATGCAACTTGCTCTCATCGGCCAGCAGTGGGGCTGCTCTCACATCCAGGAGCCCTGGGTATTTCTTAACCAGCTCTGAACTGCCAGGGATAGGATGGCGATAAATGTGGCCTTTCACAAACCTCTCAGGGAGCAAAGAACTCCAATTCACAAATTGGAAAAGATGGCTTAATTCCATGGGTATGTGTTGGTTGAAGAGCATGGCCTTTTCAAGTGACCTATCTGTGGTAAAGTAATCGCTCCAGAATCTGATCATTAGTGATCTGGTCAGGAAGGGAAGGTCAGCATTGTCCTGGTATGATGGTAAATTCATGTCCAGAGTCTGAAGGACTGGGTAAATTAAGGCCTGGATCTTGAGTTTGATCTTGACATCTGGGTCATCTATGAACTGGAAATCAATTTAAAATAAATTTATTGAATTAATATTTTAACCTAAAACATGTATTTTATCTAAAAATGATATACTGGTTTTAGATATACTCAGAATCCAAAGAAGACAATAGACAGCACAAGCATATCTCGTAGGGCTCTCTCAACTTTCCCACATAGCAGGTGGCTACTGTTAGATATTTTCAGTGTTAGTATAATAACCTGTGTTACTTTCTTGGTAGGTGGGAAAGACGACACCAATTAGATGCTGGAGGGTATGTGACCAGAAGGGAACACTACTGCACTGTTGGTGGGAGTGTAAACTTGTTCAACCACTCTGGAAAGCAGTATGGAGGTTCTCAAAAGATTCCACATAGAGCTCCCCTATGACCCAGCATTTTGGGCATTTACCCAAATGATCACAAACAAGATCATACTAAAGCTACCAGCACAACTATGCTTATCACAGCATTATTTACCATAGCTAAGATATGGAATCAACCCAGATGCCCATGAATAGATGAATATGGATCAAGACATTGTGGTATATATATATATATACAATTGAATTCTATGTCTCCATCAGAAAGAATGATACCACCCTCATTTGTTAAGAAATGGAAAGACTTGGAAAAATTATACTAAGTGAAGTAAGCCAGGCCCAAAGAAACATAGGTCCCATGGTTTCCATTGTTTGCAATGACTAGTACATGTCTAGGACAAGCAGAAAAGGTCAAAAGCTATATACATATGACCATATAAGCTGATGCTAAGTGAAATGAACCCCAAGATAGGGACACAAGACATTTTATCTTTCTTGCTGTTGCTTGTAATGTACTTATAATATACTATGTGATTTTTTTGTTTCTTTGTATGTTCTTTCCCCATGGTGTAACCCCTGTTGTCACTGTACTTGATTCTGGTGTCCTGAATCTAGTATATACATTTTGATAATTTGGGGAGGGGAAGGCAATAAAAAATGCTAATAAGGATACAGGATGACCCATTGTAACAATGAGATGTACAAGACCCTGTGTTGAAAATGAACTTTAAAACTTTGGGAGGGGAAAGGAATTGGGAAAGTGGGGAGGAAAAGGATGGCTGGGGAAAAACAAAGGAGGGGGCAACAGTGTTCAATAGGAAATGTACTCATTGCCTTGCTCATGTAACTATAACCCCTCTGTACAGTATTTTTACAGTAAAAACATATATATTTTAAAAAAACAGCATCAACTACCTGATTGAAGTGAACACTGCTGGCCTGGCACTGTGGGTCACACCTGTTACTCAGCTACTTTGGAGGTGGTGATTATGATGACAAGAGTTTTAGGTCAGGCTGGGAAAATGTCAGCAAGAGGCATTCTCAAATATCTGGCAAATCCACATATTTGAGAAGCATTGGCAGGAAGACCATAGTCTGAGACTAGCTTAGGCAAAACTAAGACTGAAAAACAGATGAAAGCAAAAAGGGCTAGATGCAGGGCTTAAGTGGTAGAACTCTTGCCTACCAATTGCAAAATCCTAAGATCGAATCCCAGTAGTGCCAAGAGGGGAAAAAGCACCCTTCAAATCCGAAATGGCCACCAGAGGTTTGGCATACTGGTGCATGCAGTAATGTTAGTACTCAGAGATCTGTGGCAAGATCATGCTGGCTGCATGGCTCTGTCTCAAAAAAAAATGGCCACAGAAGAACCTGTTTTATTTGCGTATGCTTGCCTTTTACAAGCAACAGATATGTGTACATGGATTGTACACCAGCAGGTGTTCACATTAAGGGAAGAATCACATAAATAGGGGTCATAATTGTGTTCTGACACTGAACAGGTATGTGGTCTCCAGTTCTAGGAACCAGGCATCAGATTCCCAGAAGTGTTTCCAGTGACCTCATGCCCAGGGAAGCTTGAGATACAGTGGCACAGAACACAAGCCCCAGGATCCTGGTGCTTCCTAGAGAACTGTAATGGGCAAATTCCAAGTCAATGAAAACTTGTGCTAACCTTGTATAGTACTGAAGAAGGCACAGCCCTCTCACATTATTTCTCTTGGCATATATATGACATTTACCAAAAACTGAAAGGAAGTACTCACATATCACCAAAGCAAGTGGCAGCAATATTTATATTTTTTGTTGTTATTGGTCATGGGGCTTGAACTCTGTGCCTGGGCACTGTCCCTCAGCTCTTCAGCTTAAGATGAGTGCTCTACCACTTGCGCGACAGCACCACTTCCAGTTTTCTGGTGGTTTATTGGAGATAAGAGTCTCACAGACTTTTCCTGCCTGATCTGGCTTTGAACTGTGATCATCAGATCTCAGCCTCCTGAGTAGGTAGGATTATAGACATGAGCCACCAGGGCCCGGCTTTTTTAAAATAAATAAATAAATAAAAATAAATAAATAAATACATATTTTATTGTAAAGATACTGTACAGAGGGGTTACAGTTACATGAGCGAAGTAATGAGTCCATTTCCTATTGAGCATTGTTACCTCCTCCTTTGTTTTCCCCTACCATCCCTTTCTTCCCCATCTCCTCAACTCCTCCCTCCCCCCCCCAAGTTGTAAAGTTCATTTTCAACACAGGGTCTTGTACATTTCATTGTTACAATAGGTCATCCTGTATTCTTATTAGCATTTTGTTATTCCCGTCTCCTCCCCAAATTAGAAAAATGTATATACAAGATGCAGGATACTAGAATCAACTACAGTGACAACAGGGGTTATACCATGGGGGAAGAACATACATAAGAAACAAAAAAATCATGTAGTACATTATAAGTACATTAAAAGCAACAGCAAGAAAGATAAAATCTCTTTTGTCCCTATCTTGGGGTTCATTTCACTGAGCATCGGCTTATGTGGTCATATGTACATAGCTTAGGACCTCTATGATGAAAACTTTAAAAACCTGAAAAAGGAAATTAAAGAAGGGCTAAAGAAGTGGAAAAACCTCACAGGTCTCTAGATTCGGAGGATTAACATCATGAAAATGGCAATACTGCCAAAGGCTATCTACAAATTCAGTGCAATACTTATCAACATCCAACCTCATTCTTCAAGGAAATAGAAGAAATAACCCAAAAATTCATATGTAACAATAAAAGGCCCTGAATAGCAAAAACAATCCTTAGCAGGAAGAATAGTGCTGGAGGAGTATCAATACCAAACTTCAAACTCTACTACAAAGCCATAGTAATCAAAACAGCTTGGTACCGGCACAAGAACAGACCTGAAGACCAGTGGAATAGAACTGAAGACCCAGAAATGAATCCACAGACCTATAGCCATCTAATCTCTGATAAGGGAGCTAAAGAAATAGAATGGAAGAAAGACAGCCTCTTCATTAAACGGTGCTGGCAAATTTGGTTAATCACCTATAGAAAACTGGGAATGGGGTTCAGTGGTAGAGTGCTTGCCTTGCATGCCCTGGGTTCGATTTCTCAGCACCACATAAGCAGAAAAAAAGCCAGAAGTGGTGCTGTGGCTCAAGTGGTAGAGTGCTTGCCTTGAGCTGAAGAGCTGAGGGACAGCACCCAGGCCCAGAGTTCAGGCCCACGACCAGACCCCTCCCCCACCCCCCAAAAGAAAGAAAACTAAGTCTAGATCCTTATATATCACCCTGCACCAGAAGCAACTCCAAATTGATCAAAGACCTCAGAGTCAAAGCACCCTGAAAAAATGTTCATATTTTTGCATTTTAAACACAGCTAATAATTAGATCTCGGCAATAAAATACAACGTAACTTTGTTAGTGGATCGTTTTATAAAAAAGTAATATCTGAGCTTGGTGTGACAGCTCATGCCTGTAATCCAAGATACTCAGGAGGCCGAGATCTGAGAATCATCCCAGGTGGGAAAGTCCTGAGACTCTTATCTCCAATTAACTTCCAAAAAACTGTAAGTGGAGTTGTGGCTCAAATGGGAGAGCACTATCCTTGAGCAAAAAAGCTCAAGGACAGTGCCTGGGCCCTGAGGTTAGGCCTCAGGACTGGCACACAGACACAAAAATTATATCTGAATTTAATTAGCTCAGTGTTGTATCTCAGGTAAGAGTGGTACATTCCATTTAACTCAATATCAGCTGTGAAGAATGTTGTTTGCATTGGTTGAAGTGTAATAATACTTAAATATGGAACTAGTAGTAGGTTAATTTTATATTGTGTTAAGAGGAAATACAAAACTCTTTAAAGTTGATCAAGAAATTCAACTTTACAAGTAGTTAAAATTCATTAAATTCATTATACAAATTAAATTTAATCATAGTAACTAAGTTTATCATATAAGTTAATGATTATTAAATTAATCACAAATTAAATTTACAATAAATGTATGACTTCATGCAAAATAGCATAATACTATTTGAAGTTCTAGGTATTCCCCATGGGCCTTGATTTAGCTGTGCAGCTTTTCTCCCTCCTAGAAGCTACCACTTCTAGAATATTCTGTGAATTTTCTTCAGTATTTCTTTTTTTTAATTGTGAAAATACTGTACAGAGGGGATACAATTACATGGGCAAGATAATGAGTACATTTCTTATCAAGCATTGTAGCCTCCTCCTTTGTTTCCCCTTCCCATCCCTTCCCAACCTCTCCCTACTCCCCCACCCAATTCTCCTCCCCCCCCACCAAAATTTCTTCAATATTTCTAGGAAACATTTAGTGAGATGGTATATAGTTGTGTTTCTTTCCTTTCTTAATGTAGTAAAAATCAACTGCCTTTTATGAACTGCAGTTTCCTTTCACTATTACAAACTTAGTCATGGTACATAGTTTTGCTTAGTATTCATATTGCTAATGTCTTAGTTTCTTTTAGTATGATTGGCACCCATGCTGTTAGTAAGTTTCAGGTTTTTATGCTAATATGCTGTATTATTCTGACAGCAAAAGATTGTGCAAGTCTTGGCATATGTTACTGATCAATACTGTAATCATCTAGTCCTTTTGTTATGGTGACTGACATCACTTAAATTTCACAAATATACCTCTAATATAACAAGGTATAAGGTACTTAGCTGACCAACAGTCTAGAGAAGATTACTTGTCATATAGTCAAAAAAGGGTAAAACTATCATGAGACAAGAATACGAACACTAGGTAAATAAATATTCTTCAATGTTAATCTCTATGAATATCTAATAGACCAATAAGGTCACATGTTTGAATTCACTTTTAGAATATCAAATAAATATATTCACATGTAAGATAGTTTAAAAAGAAAGCAAATCTGGGCTTCATACCTGTTGGGTCACCGCTGCAGCTAAGTTTCCTCCGGCACTATCTCCAGCAATACCGATTCTTTCAGAGTCTATGCCATATTCTTCAAGAACGTCTTGGCGTACAAACCACTTTAATGCATTATACACATCTTCAAACTGACTTGGAAAGTGGTATTTTGGTACTAGTCTGTAGCTGTGTGCAGAATAACAATTATCAGCTGATTGTATCAATGAAATATGTGTGTACGTGCTCTAACTATAAAACTGAGAATACAACTTATCTTTCATAAACTTAGTGCTTTGTCTAATTATGAACTCTAAGATAGGCTCCATGCTCATGATAATGCTTCTGAAAATTTTCACTGGTTTTATTGATTTAGCCTTATGATTAAAAAGAAAACAACTGATAATATCTCCCCTAACTAAACGTCTCCCATAATTATACTTGTAATAATTGTACCTAATTGGTAAGCAATAAAAGGCATAAATGTTACCAATTGTTCTTTCTGAATTTAACCCAATCACAAAGTGCCTGTGAGGCCACTACTTTGCTTTATTTAGGATCCTTTCTTTTTTAAATCCATTACCATTTGATTGTTTTAATCTTATTAATTACCTATCTAGAATACTTTTGAGTAAAGCTTTACCTGTTTCCATTTTAATTTGATGACTAATTGCATTTGCTCAAAGACTATGCTGATACAATGTATACTAATTGTTTTAAATGTTCTTTTTTATTTGAAATTCTGCAGAAAAATATATTATTCCCAGTTTACAGATGATGAAACTTAGCAAAGGAGATTGTTTGCAGTGTACACAAGACCAACATGTTTAATTTTCAAGCCAAGTTTGCATGTAATTCTCTAACTCTGAAGTTTGCTCAATGAAACTAGGCTGGGAAACAGAGATGTTTCATTTGTATGATACAATCTTTTAGTTTAAGTCATACAATTTCTAAGCTTGTGGTTTTAATTTTTCCTTGAGCTGAGCAATTATTTTCTCTGTGGCTGAGTATTCTGGTCAAGCTCAAGTTCACATTCTCTATATTGACTGCCCTGAATTCATTTAAAGCACACTAATATAACACCTGAAATGACAGAAACAGGCACATTAGTCTGTGAGGCAGACAGGCCAGGAGTGGTCTTACTTGACAGACACGACAACAGCATCCAGACTATGAGCAGTACTTCTTGATAGATAGTCATAATTATAAAATGCTGAAAGAAAACCAGATGAGAGACGTGCACATGAATCTATACATGATTTCCCCTGCAGAAAGTACATGTTGTTCCTTAGTAAGATATTCTGAAAAAATTCGTTAAATTTCTGCAGTATTTTAGCATTACTGGGGAACTTGAATTCTGCTCAGGGACCAATTATATATCCATTTTCTTTATTTTCCCCTACATTTCCACACTGCAAAATTTAGACCAGTTTCATTTTTCCCAAGATCAATCTGCTTTTTGAACTTAGCAAATGTTATGTTTTGGAAGCACAAATACATAACTCCCTAAAATCAAATTCAATTGAGAGACAATTGAGATGGGGCAGGCATATACTGCAAAACAAAACTTGTAAAAATTACAATTGCTTGAATGAAAGCAGCGCAGAAAGTAGCAATTGAAAACAGTATTGGATGTCACAGAAACTGCAGAAGAGAAAATAAGTAGGTCTAAGACCCATCTTGAATTGATTAATGCTGACACGCAGAGAAGAAGAAATTGGGCTATTATTTGTTTTCAAGTTGCTCTCCTGGCATGTACCGGTCGGAATGGATGGGACACATGCACCTGAGCTTGGCCAGTGCTGGCTCTACAGGTAAGATTCCTGGAGAGAAGATGAGCCTGATCAGCCTCAAGCGGTCAGAGAGACCCTGGCGCGCTGAGGGCTGTCCAGAGGTGACTTCTTGGTGGCCATACAAAGAGGAAGGTATTGTGACATCTTCACTGTCACATGGTGGGTATTCTTAAAGTATAAAATACATACCAGGTCTGAAACTTTTATTTAAGCCTCATATAAGATGATGTGTATATCTTCATTTTGCTACACATTTTATGATTTTTCTTTTTTAATATACATTTTTATTGTAAAATACTGTACAGTTACATGAGTAAGGTAATGAGTACATTTCCTATTGAGCATTGATGCCTCCTCCTTTGTTTTTCCCCTACCATCCCTCCCTTCCCCACCTCCCCAACTACTCCCCCCACCCAAAGTTGTAAAGTTCGTTTTCAACATAGTGTCTTGTGCATCTCGTTGTTAGAATGGGTCAGCCTTTAATTTTTCTTAATGATCAAATAGAAAGCTCCTGCCTGAAACCCTAGCTTGCAGGAGGCATAAAGAGGAGGGGTCAGGATGCAGCCCAACCTATCTGAAAAGTGGCCTCAAGCACAGAAAGCTAGATGAGTGTCTCAGGTGGCAAAGCACCTGCTCAGCAAGAACAAGGTCCCAAGTACCACGCTCAGTATTGCTAAGATAAATACATAGATAAGATGAACTTTCAACAAGGGCACATACCAGCTCCCAGTAAACACCAACCACCTCCGTGAACATAAAGTAAGCCTTTTTTCAGTATCTCTGATTTCCGTTTTGGTACATAGACACGGACAGGAACACTGTTGAAAAAGGTCTCCGTCACAATGACATTTTCATCAGATGTGGGTGGGACTTCTAGAAAGCCGATGAAAAACATCAGACTGTTCACAAAATGGATGATTCCTAGATAGTCAGCAAACAGGGCCTAATGGGAGAGAAGGGGGAAAACGACTGGATTTCAAACATCAAATCTTAGTGTTGCTAGGCACCGGTGGCTCACACCTGTCTTCCCAGCTACTCAGGAGGCTGAGATCTGAGGATCGCAGTTCAAAGCCAGCCCAGGCAAGAAATTCCATGAGACTCTTATCTCCAATAAACCACCAGAAAACTGGAAGTGGCACTGTGGCTCAAGTGATAGAGCACTTGCCTGGAGCTGAAGAGCTGAGGGACAGTGCCCAGACCCAGAGTTCAAGACCCACGTCTGACAGAAAAAAAAATCTCAGTGTTGTTTAGCTGTAGTATGGGAACATCCACATGCCTCCCAATGGATGAATGGATCAAGAAAATGTGGTCTATATACACAATAGAATTCTATTCATCAACCAGAAAGAATATTACATTGAAAACTGCCTTCCTCCTTTCTTGCCTCCCCCCTCCATCCATCTCTCCTCTCACTGGGAGTCCAGCTCAGAACTTGAGCAAACTGGGTAGCCCCTCTCTTCTACTTAAGCTACCTAATATTCACAAAGAAGACAAACTTTTGGACTTACCAGGCCTGTCGTTGCTCTAATTGGTGCCATAATCCATGTTAGTTTCCAGGACTCCTCAAAATTAGCTGGCAGTGGTATATAGATGAACCAGGCCCCAAGGACCCCAGCAATGAGCAGAAAAGTTGCCTTTTTCTTCATGCTTCCCCCCTGCTCCTTGTACTTGGTACTGTAATACATACAATTGTTTTCAGTCATCCACTTGCTAAATTTTAACCTCAGTCCTTAAAGTGAACCTCACCCTGAGTTTCTGAACACAAAGTCCACCGCTCCATTTGTGTTTCATAGATTGCCTGCCCAAGAGGCCTCATGTTAAAGTGTTACTCAACCCACTCAGAACAAATGGCATTGTGCAATTTGTCATCACATGGGCAGCCCAGAAATAATTACACTCACTTTATGAAGCAATGGTGTTTATCTTCTGCAAATCCTATTAAATCTAATAGCTCACAGCATTGATAGAAACTACAGTGTTTGTTAAGAAACTTCTGTTTCATAGTTACTAAATCAGAATTATCTATGTAGCCATTGGAAAACACAGGAAGCCAAGTATGTACATCGAATAAAGTTTAGAATTGGAGAGGACTACACAGTATTTTCAATAAGATGAAAATGGAACTGTGTTTCAGGTAGCAGAGCACCAGTTGTAGGCAAGAACACAAGGCCCAGAGTTCTAGCCCCACTACTGGCATTAAACAAGAGAAAAGTTAGGGAGGAGAAGCTGGAGGCTAAACAAGCTCTCACATAGAAAGCAGTTTTAGTGTTCTAGTGAACAGTCCTAAGCCAGAGAATCACACCAAGTGTGCCATCACAGGACAGAGAGTTAGGCCAGAGAGGGAAAATCCAGGCAAGGAAACAGATCTGAGCACTTGCCAGCAGCTGTGGCTCCGGCAGCAGTGGTGGCCATAGCCGCCATACTTGCAACACAGAGAGTCCGGGACAAAGGCGCCAGACGAGGTGGGTGAGCGGATTCTACTCAACACCAGCAAGAACTGACAAGGAGCAGACATCTTCATCCTGCAGTTCGCACACCAGAGACAACCCAGGAACAAAGACTTTGGCATGAGTAGAACCCTGACATCCTCACTCCTTCTCAGGGAGCAGAGGAGGGAAGGCCACACCTCCCCCATCACCACTGGAGATCTCCATCTTTGATACTGACAAAGGCCTGGCTGAGCATCTAGCTCCAACTCAGGCCTTGGAAGGAAACAAGAACCATTTAGCAGGTCACAGGAACCTAACCTGACATGCCAGGCTCAGCTCCCCCCAGGGAAAAGTCACCCAGCCTGGGCAGCCAGCCTCAGGAGTGGCTTTCTTCACTGGGTAAACAGAGCCAGAGGCTGCCCCTCCCTAAGCCTAGACAATCAATTGAAACTCAGTAAACATAAACCCTGAGAATGGATCCAGGTGGGGCTCTGTGAGTGTCTCACAAGCTAGCCCCTCGGGGAAAAGCTACTGTTTGCTGAAAGGCTTCAACTCTACCCAGAACCTAGCCTCATCACAGCATCTCCAAACTAGAGGAAACAGCCATCTTCCTCTTTTTTGATACTCAAAGCAGATCTCCCTCCCATTGAACTAACCTGAGAGGAGGATCACAAAATCCTGGGTAAAGCAGAGCATTTTTCTGCCTGCTCAAACAAACTGACTTAAGAAACCACCCAAGCCACAGGAAAATCAAACACCACAAGCAGACCAGAGACTCCACCAAGAGACTGGTTACAGACACAAGGGAGATCTTCCCATCCCCTCCCCCCAAAAAAATCTTTTTGTACCTTTTGTAAAAAAATTTTTTTCTAAAACTTTTTTTTTAATTTTTAACTTTAAAAAAAATTTTGTTTTCTATTAACGTTTTTTGTTTTCTTCCTCTTATAATTTTTATTTTAAGGGTATAAGTGTGTGTGCTTTTTTTTCTCTTTCTTTCTTTTCTTTTTTAAATTCTTTTTTGTTTAGCTCTACTGATCTTTTGATCCTCTTTTTTTCTTTCCTTCTCATTCTTTTCACCTTTTCTTCTCTTTTGTTCTTCTTTGGATGACTTAACTGCTGTTCTGCTCATCCTCAGCTATACCTGTAGTCGATTATTAGACCTTATCCCCCATTGTGTACACACTTAATCCAGAAATTTATTACTCAATTCAAAACCTTTTAGACTTAAATTCCTTAATAGCAGTAATACTTCTTTATACCCATATAATATTTTAAGCATTTTTATTTTTAAGTTTTTCACGTCTCCTTTCTATCCCTACCCATATCTTATCCTATCTGCATTCTTCTCTGAATATTACATTTTTAAATTTGCATAATTTAAGTTTTTAAGTGTTTCATTTTTAAATTTTTAATATTTGTTTTTCTATTTTTTTCTGGTCTCTTTTTTCTCTTTCTCTTCTTTTTTTTCTCTCTCTCTACTATCATTCTCTCCAACCTATTTCCCCCTTTGAGACTAGGACTTAGCTAAGTTAACTCAACCTCTGCCTTTCCACATCCCTCTATTCCTATTTTTACCCACATCTCTCCCTAAACCTAATAATTTCTAGTTTGCCAAATTCTTCTTTGCAGTTTGTAGCACATTAATACATAGTTGTTTGATGTTGAATAGATATATCTGTTGAACTAGAGTGTATCTGCAGACTTTTGACTGTGCAACTACAGACTTTGGTTGATGCTTACCTTCAGATAGTGTTCTAGCACAAAACTGGTGTTACTTTCATCCCAAATGGGCAGAGCAAACTGGAAAAACACAATAAAAATGGCAAGTCTGGGTATCTCAACTCCCACTCATGATAATCAGGGCACAGAACAGATAATGAATAATCCAGAGGAGAATTCCCCAAAAGCTCTACAAACACTACTGGTAAACATGGTAAATGAAAAGATTGAAAACCTGCAAAGGACTCTGTATGAGCGTGATAGGGAGAGAGAGGAAGCAAACCAAAGGTCAATACAGGAATATCATGAGCGTGAGGAAGCTACTCAAAGATTGATACAGGAATTGCTTGAGCAGCTTGAGAACACTCAAAGAGAAAGTCAGGAATGGCGTGAGCAGGCTGAGATCAATCAAAGAGATACACAGGAATTGTGGGAGCTGGCCGAGAACAGACAAAGTCAGGAATGGCTTGAGCAGGCTGCAAACACTCAAAGAGAGCTACAGGAATCGCGTGAACGTGAGAAAGCTAATAAAAGAGTAATCAGGAATTGAGAGAGCAGGATGAGAATAGACAAAGATCACTAAAGGCATTCATGGAATCCATAAACAGAGAGCTGAAAGAACTCAAGGAGTCCACAAAGGGAATGCTGAATGGAACCCAACAGAAAGAATAGGAGTCCAAGGAAACCATAACGAATCAACTAAGTGATTTGAGAATAAACACTGAACACCAAATTTAAGGAAGTAAAGAAGTTCATACAAGATCTAAAACAAGCTCCAACAAAGAATTTGAAGCCATCAAAGCTGACCAACTAGCAGGAAAAGAAATAAAAAACAAAGTAGAAAGTCTTGATAGCAGGTTAGACCATGCAGAAGATCAAATCTCGGGGATTAAAGACAACCTAGATATTATAGAGAAAGAACATACAACCATCCAAGACAAATCCAAGAAATATGATAGATCTATTCAACACTTGGAAGACACCATCAGAAGGCCTAATCTGAGGATAATGGGTGTGGAGGAGCACCTAGAGACAGAAGTTAATGGTCTAGGAAATTTGTTTAACAGGATCCTAGCAGAGAACTTCCCAAACATGCAAAAAGATAGGCCTATTCAGATACAAGAAGCTTTTAAAACTCCAAATAGACCAGACCAGAACAGGACATCCCACTGTCACATTATCATCCGTACAGGATCAATTCAGACCAAGGAAAAGATCCTTAAAGCTGTCAAAGAGAAAAGATCAATCACCTATAAAGGGAAATCAATTAGAATCACCTCAGATTTCTCAGCAATCAAAGCAAGAAGAGCCTGGAATGATGTATGCCATGCCCTAAGGAAAAACAACTATCAACCAAGAATACTGTACCCAGCTAAACTCTCCTTCATAACTGAAGGTCAAATAAAAACCTTCCATAGCAAAGAAAAATAGAAACAATATATCTCCACCAAACCAGCCCTACAAAAGATTCTTAAAGATGTCCTACACATAGAAAACCAACAAGACCACAATAAGGCCAAGAAACTGCACCCAAACTGAGAATCCAAGAACCATGGGAAGAATCCAGTTGCCGCAGCCCCCAAGAAGGTGGATAACATGGCAGGAACTCCCAAATACCTCTCAGCCCTATCTATCAACATTAACAGACTTAACTCTCCAATTAAGCAACATAGACTGTCTAGTTGGATTAAACAGCAAGATCCTTCTATCTGCTGCCTTCAGGAGTTACATCTTGCCCATGAAAACAAACACATTTTCAATGTGAAAGGCTGGAACAAAATCTACCAAACAAACGGCCCCCATAAACAAGCGGGAGTTGCAATCCTAATATCACATAAAATAGACTTCAAATTAAATTAATGAGAAGAGATAAAAAAGGTTGCTACATACTAATTAAGGGATTTCTCCTTCAGGAGGATATTATAATTCTAAATATCTATTCGCCAAACAATGGAGCACCCAAATTTATCCAAGAAACACTACTTTTCCTCAAATCTCACATAGATCCAAAGACATTAATTGTTGGGGACTTTAACACACCACTTTTCCCACTAGATAGATCAACTCTGCAAAAACTCAACAGAGAAAGCACAGATCTAAACAACTGCATAGATCAACTAGATTTAACAGACATCTACCGAATATTTCACCCAGAAGCATCAGAATACACGTTTTTCTCAGCAGCACATGGAACATTTCCCAAAATAGACCACATTTTAGGCCACAAAGCAAACGTCCAAATTCAGAAACATTGAAGTTATACCTTGCATTCTCTCAGACCACAAGGGAATAAAATTAGAACTCAACACCAAAAGCCACCAAAGAAAATCCTGTAACACATAGGGGCTGAATAACACACTGCTGAATCACGAGTGGGTCATGGAAGAGATTACCTCGGGCATATTTGCCCTTCTATAAGTCCTTTGAACACACCTGTATTTGTCATTCAAAAAGCCTCTGGGGCTTGGAGTATGCTTCAAGACCTAGGTAAGGTAAATGAAAGGATGGCGCTAGTAGGAAC